CAGGTGCTTCGGTCCGCCGCCGCTACAGCTACGTCGTGTTATGAACGAATCAGCTGTCGATCGGCGCCGTCAGCATGCAAAACTGACTGACTTTTTTGTCTATACCTGGTAGATTCCCTTACGAATAGCTTGCAGCAGACCGAGATCGAACCGATCCTAGTCGAACACGGCTATAACGAGGCCCAAATTCCAACGGTTGACCTGCCCATCGGCGAGTTGATGCACAGATATTAGCTCGGCAGTATAAGGTCGATGGGGAGGTGATCAAGATTCTACAAGTAGCTCTTTCGCTAGCATGTTAAGACACAGATTGGGCGTCTACAACCGGGCCGATGGAAGCACAAACCAGGTCAATGTTTCAAAATATTCGATTAGATGATCCTGGGCCTCATCGCATTCTCCCCATGTTTTACTTGAGAGGGGCTGGCTACATGGGTCGGCAATAAGACGGAGGACGAAGCTCGACGTTACAATACTTCTGGATTTGCTATCATTTGTGGAAACGGTTCCGCAGACGCGCCAGTTTGTCCAGATTGGGAAACAGAGAGCGAACTATAAGCCTGGTGGCCTGGCACTTGGATACCGAGGGACAAAGGTCGACTCGACCGTGTTGATGCGAACAAAGACTGGCAATACATACCAAGCGCGCCACATCTGCCCCGCGCCGACGGAGAACTCTCCTCTATGCTGTACTCAGTATCTGTGCCTGTGCCCCTGCCCCTCCGAACCCCTGTGCCCCTCTATCTACGGCATCCCCCATATGGCAAAGGAGCTTGGATGGGAGGGGGTGGCGGCGGAGACATCGCAGAATTATTGCTTGCTCTCGGCCATAATGCCATACAGCTGGGTCATCTGGTGACGGGGCAATGACTCTCCGTCCAACAAATCGTTCTCGTACGGAAAAAAGTCCTCCAGGCGTTTCTCCTTGTAGCCGGCTTGTAGCCACACACTTTCCGTCCGTACAACCCTTCAACCCTTCTTCCGAACCCATCAGGGCTACAGGGGCTTGGCCGTCTGGGCCAGATTCAGACATGGATGACGCGGGCTTGGTCCTCAGATCCGATGTGATGGAAGTCCCGTCCTCTGCAACATGTATAGCTACCAGTGCATCGTATAGCTAGAGTATGTTTCCTCCAGGACTTTGGATTCGGCTAGCTTCGGGGTCAAGGCAAGATCTGGCCAAAAAAGGTCCAGAGGAATCTTCGTCCGGTCATCCTTTGGGCCAGCCAGAACGGCTCACCGGGCAAAAGTCCATGTTGTACTGCTACTTGGTCGTGGTTGTTTAGTCAGTTCCCCTCTTTGTCCTCTTTGCCACATTGTCCCTCCCTGCGCCCCCCCATCCTAGTCGCAGTCTCCGCGACCTCGTCCAATCCCCTCACTCAATCTCTGAGAACATCGAAACCCTCTTCCACCCTTGAATCACTTGAGGCTTCCCAGCTGTGACAATTCTGATCTCCGTTGATCCACCTACGACTCTCTCGCTGCCTCTCGACCCCGCAGTTGAGATGCGACTCCCAATCACCCCCCTGTCCTTGGAGGGACGGAATTCCAGCGTCCAGCCTACTACAATTGTCCGCTCGACCTCTGGGATCCATTCTCGTGTCTACCCTACTCGTCGCTCGCCGTCTACCTACTGGCTCGGTCAATAGGAAAGCGAAAGAAGATTTGTGCTTGTGGACATCATTGCGTCCATGAGAGTTGGCGCTTCCCCGCGCATGAAGTATTTGAAATAAAGCTCACTCTCTGCCCTCGGTGCTCGTCTGATCTCTCTCTTCTCCTCTTCTTGTCCTATTACAAAAAGTCTGCGACTTTATCCCTTGCCTGTTGTGATACCCCATCCCAGTTCTTTTTGTACCAATCGACAGTTCAAGCAACCATGTCTCTGACAGCAAAGATCGAGACCCCTAGCATCACGTACGAGCAGCCGCTGGGCTTGTACATCGATGGCAAGTGGGTGAAGGGTGTTGAGGGCAAGACCTTTGAGACCATCAACCCATCGAACGAGAAGCCCATTATCGCCGTCCACGAGGCCGGTCCCGAGGGTGAGTGACCTAGAGATCTTGTGAGGTGGGGAGCCTGCTGACCATGTTTTCTCTCGTGTAGATGTCGACCTTGCCGTCAAGGCCGCCCGCAAGGCTTTCAATGGCGTTTGGGCTCAGACGCTCCCCAGTGTGCGGGGCCAGATGCTGTGCAAACTGGCCGACCTCTTCGACGAGTACTCGGATACCCTCGCTGCGATTGAAGCTTTGGACAACGGCAAGGCCCTGTCCATGGCCAAGGTCGACGTTCAGCTGTCTTCGGGCTGCTTGAGATACTACGGTGGATGGGCAGACAAGATCCACGGCAAGACCATCGACACAGACCCAGAGACATTCAACTACACCAGACATGAAGCCATCGGTGTCTGCGGTCAGATCATCCCATGGAACTTTCCTCTTCTCATGTGGTCCTGGAAGATTGGCCCTGCGATCGCCACCGGTAACACTGTTGTCCTAAAGACTGCTGAGCAGACCCCTCTCTCTGGCCTGTTCGCCGCCACTCTCTGCGAGAAGGCCGGCATTCCCGCCGGTGTCATCAATATCCTCTCCGGCTTCGGCAAGACTGCTGGTGCCGCTATCGCCTCCCACATGGACATTGACAAGGTCGCCTTCACTGGCTCGACCGTCGTCGGCCGCACCATCCTACAAGCCGCTGCCAAGTCGAACCTGAAAAAGGTCACTCTCGAGCTGGGCGGCAAGTCGCCCAACATTGTCTTCAACGACGCCAACATCGAGGACGCCATCTCGTGGGTCAACTTTGGTATCTTCTTCAACCACGGCCAGTGCTGCTGCGCCGGCTCGCGTGTCTACGTCCAATCGGGTGTCTATGACAAGTTCATCCAGGCATTCAAGGAGCGGACGGCCAAGAACGTCGTCGGCGACCCATTCAAGGCCGACACCTTCCAGGGGCCTCAGGTCAGCAAGCTCCAATTCGACCGGATCATGAACTACATCCAGTCCGGTAAGGAGGCTGGCGCCAAGGTTGAGACTGGTGGTGAGCGCCACGGCGAGGAGGGCTACTTCATCCAGCCCACCATCTTCTCCAATGTCAGCGAGGACATGAAGATCATGCAAGAAGAGATCTTTGGTCCTGTCTGCGCCATCAGCAAGTTCGAGACTGAGGAAGAGGTGATCCGACTCGGCAACGAGACCACCTACGGCCTCGCCGCTGCCGTGCACACCACTAACCTCAACACTGCCATCCGCGTTGCCAACGCCCTCAAGGCCGGCACCGTCTGGGTCAACAACTACAACATGCTCAGCTACCAGGTCCCCTTCGGTGGCTTCAAGGAGTCTGGTATTGGCCGTGAGCTCGGCAAGTATGCTCTGTCCAACTACACTCAAGTCAAGTCTGTGAGAGTCCGACTTGGCGGTGCTCTCTTTGGTTAAAAGGGTCAACATATCTCCTAAAGTGAAAAATGATAAGTCCATGGAGTAATTACGAGAGAACGAAAACGACTCATTCCAACTTTTGTCCCGCGAAAACCAAAAAGGCATGCAAGTGAGAAATGTCAGAGCCGGGGGAAATCATCTGGCCTGGTTTCTTTCATTATACATCACACACAAACACACACCAGCACGAGCACGAGCACACACCTCGGGGGCTAGTTTACCTGTGCATGGGGCTGGCGCTGCCGGTTCAAAGTCTTGTAAAGTTCTGCTGCTTGCTAGCTAGCTAGCTATGTAGGTAAAGTAGTCCTCAATGGCTGTACAATGGATAATGAAGTGTTATGAATATGGATGAGTGATGTCGTTTTTGTCGTGTCGGTCCCATATGTCTCGTCTATATATCGTCGATTTGCATTTAACTCTTGATAAGGTAGAAGCATGCTGTCAGTCTGTACACAGAGAAGTGGATAGCTGGATAGATATGTTAGATAAATAGGTAGGTATCAAGAGATATCATCCGACCCACAGATCCAATCTCCAACCTTTCCTGTAGAGATTTCTCTCTGGCTTTTCGCTTTTCGCTGTTACTCAACCTCGCGTATCCACAACCCCGTGACAACCCCGACAAATAATCCGCTAGATCGCTGGATCGCAGCATCTCGACCGAGAAGCCGTGAGTGATCACATGACGAGGCTCGCCACATCGCCCCCCTGAGAGGATTGGCTCGCCCGGCATATCGGAAATCCGATGAATATCGTTGGCTATCTACATACCTACCAATATCGCATATATACGTGCATACATAATTGGACCAGGTGAAGGGTGGGATCGTACAAATAGTAAACTATAGTACGATACGATACGACACAACTCGACACAACATCATCAACACGCGAGAAGTGGATCGATCGATTGATCACCGGGTACGCCACGCGCCACACACACACTTTCTCTCTCTTCTCTCTTCTCTCTTTCTCTCTGGATTATCTTCTTTCTTTGATTTACAAGACATGACAAAGCCAGGACGGGACAAGACTGCTCAGCATCCTTTGAATTCTTGAAGAGAGGAGAGGACGAAAAAAATATAAATTCTGGCCCAGGGGACCTGGTGTTTTCAGAGGGTTTGGATACGTCTCTTCAATTCGACCGTCAATCTATCCGGCTGGTCGGTGGAGTCTTGTTCGTGAATTGGAGTACTCTCTACAGCGGAGAGGAGAGAGAGAGAGGGGCGGATGAGAGGCTGGGTATCCTCACGTCAACGTCCACTACCGCATCTACGGACCAGCGTCTGTGTCTCTGTCGGTGTCTACGCCAGTGTCTGTGTCTTGATGCTAGCGATCCTCATCGCTCTCCTGCAACAAACGTCAACTCGATTCCTCCCACTATCAACACCGGTACAGATCCTACGTGTCAACGCCGCCGCGAACAACTTCCAGACCCTGAGGGCAAAAGTAGTCCCCCTCTGGATCGGCGGTGCAGGCCCGTCTCAGACGGCATTGCAAGGCACTGTTTCGCACGCACCGACATTTTTGAGATCCATCTCCTCAATCCCGACAAACCCGACAACCAGCATGGCTTCGCAAGGGTGTGGCCTTGGCCCCGAACAGTGCACGCCGGGACAAAAAGCTGGTGTTCAAGCGGATCCATCAACGGCGTCGAACAACAAGAATGCAGATACAGACACAAAAACAGATGCAGATAAAGCCGCAGCTGAACCAGAGCCAGAGTTGCCGAAACTGTCTGCCCAGGATTTCCGCGAGTATAATCGCCTGGCCGTCATGATGAATGCCTATGTATGTGATGTTGAAACTGAAATCCCCTTTTACCAAAAACCCCCTTTGGGACTTTTTCTTCCCAAGATGTTTTGTTCCCAAGCACTCGTTCCTTGGAGCGGAGGACTGTTCGTTCTCCCCGCACATCCTTCTCCCGAAAACAACGTCCGACTAACAAACAAACACGCCTAGCACAACCATTTCCGATACACGTGGAATCTCCTGTACAAGGCGTGCACGTCCGGGTCGCGACCCGCGGGTATGTCCATCCGCAGCTTCATCTCGCAGGGCCTGCACCTGTGCCACTCGCTGACGATCCACCACACGATCGAGGAGCAACACGTCTTCCCCGAACTGGCCGAGCGCATGCCCGCGTTCGGCGCCCACGACCACCTCATCACCCAGCACGAACAAATCCACGAAGGGCTCGACAAGTTGGAGGAGTATCTCGACGCGTGCCGGAGCGGGGAGAAGGAGCTGCGCCTGTCCGAGTTGAAGGAGATCATGGACTCTTTTGGAGATGTGTTGTGGGCCCACTTGGATGACGAGGTGAGGATGCTGGGCGCGGAGAATATGCGCCGGTTCTGGACCAAGGAGGAGATTATGGCCATGCAGTGGTGAAGTAATGTCCAATGTCGCTTTAGATGGTGTTTCGGGGCATTGCATGTCGAGCGATAGACGGTGGGCCGGCGTTGGGGGGTTTGGTAGAACTATTTACTGACACCATTCCCCCCCCCCTCTCACGACAGGTTGTGTATCAAAGTTGACGTAATATTCGAGCCCGCGGTGGCGCTCTGAAATTCGAATAGTACTTGACCGTCGTCATAACTCTAATCAGTGAGCTTGGTCAAATCAACTTGATACCGTCCATCGTCCATGGTTACTTGCACTTGCACTCTCACCCTCACTCTCAAATTCACTCTGCTATTAGTTTTTCTGGGGTGGAAGAGAGAGAATCCACGACGGTCTTTAGGGCCCATTCAAACCTCGTCCCTCTCCAAAAACCCGGGATCATTCTGCACCCTCCGCTCAAACTTTGTCCACCAGTCCTGGAAGCTTTTGAGCGGCACGACCTCGACCCCGTTGGCCGTGTTGCCGGCAAAACTGGCCAGGAAGTTGAACGCGTTGCGGATGATGCGCTGGGCCAGCACCCTCGTGTCGGGCGGTCTCTTGACGAGGGCTGAAGAATTCGAGGACGCTGTCGTAGGCGATATTGGTGATTGTTGCTGTTGCTGCTGGAGCTGGAGCATCTGCGCCTGGATGTTCTCGGCCGGTTCGACCGAGATGCCTAGGTTGACTTGTCCCGCAGAAGGGTTGTTGGCGACGCCAGAGTCGGGCAGGTTCACGCGGAACAGCGCAGAGGGCTTCTCGTTCCCGATGGCGCCGAGGAACTTGAACCCCTGCTCCCCGGGCAGTTGCATGTAGACTCCCGCGGCTGTGCCCGGGGGAAGGAGGTTGTTTGGGTGTAGGAAGACGCCGACGTTGTGGAATGCTGGCGAGGCCGGGAACGAGACGGCAAACTGGTTCGGCGAGACGGTCGCCATCTCGGGGATGATGGGCCGCGTGGGGATGAAGACTCCAAACATGTCTGGCGGTGGTGCGATTACTGGGAGGGTTTGCTATGGCCAGGGAGGAAAGAGGAAAAAGAGTAACCTTGTCACTTAGGATATAAAGTACATGGAAACATGGGGGAAATTATATCAATTCAGGCAGCTTGACCAGGCCGGACGCTGCCGTGGGCTGAGGCTGTTAAAGTGTGGGACAAACTCAACTGCCCGCGGCTCACCCTCTCTTGGGACGGTGCTGACGCCGCCTTTGTGCTTGATGGATGATGACGTCATTATTACTGAAGTCCGCGAAACTGACTGTAAAGCGGCCTTGCAGAGTTTCTCCTTTGAGGCTTGTTGATCAACGTCTATTTGCAGTACTACAAGTAGAGAGCCACAGAGCCTCTCGCTGTAAAATCAGCTTCGTCAAGGCAGGACTGGGTGCAGTATCTTGCCATTACATTTCCCACATACACATACAAACAACATCGATGAGGCTACTTTCTGCTGATCCGAATCCCTTCAACCCGTTCCCATCAATTCTTGATCAAGAGGAGGGCCCAGTATACTCTGAAGTTCATCTAATCCCTCTCCAAACTATCCACGAGACCACTTTCGACGAATGCATTGCGACTTCCGCTGATTCAACCATTCCTGATTCTCGTTCGTGGAATTGTCCTGCACGTCATCGTCTGGGAACTCGGCCAGAAGCTTCGTTACCGAGTGATATTCTCCAGTTCAGCACTTTCTCACAATGGCGTCGCTGGCCGAATTGGTCAAGGGCGGAAATTGTCTGAACTGGAATTTTTCGGCCAGTGTGACAAAGTGGTCTCTACCCCAGGACTCGGTCTCGTACGGCTCATGGCCACGTAACAGGGTGTAGTAGATAGAGCCGACGGCAAATGTCTCGGTTCGAGCCCCTGCTAGGCCATAGGTGCCAGGGTCGCCGTCGTCGTCTTTGCTAAGTAGCCACCCGAATGGCTCAGTCAGCACGGCAATCTCTTCGCCGATTCTGACTGCCCGGTCCATATCGGCCAGCTTCAAATTCCGATTGGAATCTAATAGCATATTGGCTGGGCGAATATCTCCATGGATCAGTTCTGCCTGCTCGAGTCCCGCCGCAACGAGACAAAGTTGTCTCATCCATCGATGAATGACTCGTGACTCGAAATGGCGCGACAACCTGAGAACTCAGTGTCCCTCGCGGTCCCGATAGTAACATTGCAAGAATTCCATGAGGTGCAAGCTCCAGGGATGTATCGATCAGAGTCTGGAAAAAGCAACGAATCAAAGGTGGGATCCGTGGAAGAGTGCTGGCTATTGGAGCACTCTTTGCTCGTTGGCATGATCTGCCTGTTCGTCTTCTTCTGTCCGAGCCCTTTTGACAGCAATATAGGCATTCAGTTGATACACTGTACCATTGCTGCCGCGGCCAAGGAGACTCATGGTCGACGAAATCGTATAGCAGAGGAAGATTGAACTCTTGAAGTGATTGCTCAGATGTCTATTTGTCTCTCTTCTGTGCCGGTGAGCGTATTTCAGTCGTGGATCCTTATACGTAGAATGTTTCACCGCGCATTACTCAAACAAGCTGCTCAAAACGAGGCAAAAGCGGGTGCCATTTAGACCGCGTTGTTGCAACCAGGATGAGTGACTAGACCCGTGTCCACGAGGGGCCTTTTCAAAAAATGGCGTTCAATGGATGGTAGCCCTTGTCTTTGCAGCCCAAGTCGAGAGAACTAAGACCAATCGGGCCATGCATATCTGCTGTGCTTCCATCCCTAATCACTCCCTTGTTGGTCACTTGGAAGAAGGCAGGGAGGGAAATCGGGGAAATGGGACAACGACGAAAGTCGTGCAACCAGACTTGGGTGATGCCCAACCATGGAGGTCCATCCACCCCAGCTGGAGACCATCCAAGATATTCCTCTCTGACATGTGCATAACAATGTTTGGCGCCACACCACGACGAATCTTCACTGCCAGGGGCCCTATAAAGGACCTCAGTTTCTCCGTCTTCTCCGCCATCGTGCCTGGCTGCTTGCACTCAAACTTCGTGAATCAACCTAGGAAATCTGTTCCTCAAAACTCAAAATGCCGACTCCTCAGCAGTCCGTATGCGTACAGTACCAGATCAGATACACCTGCGGGCATTCAATCAACAGCGAGTTCATCAAGTGCGCAAAGCATTTTGGCCACCCAGATCTCAGGTGCAGGTCGGGCGTTTGGAAGTACGATGAAGACAAGATATCGACTCACAAGTGTCGACCCTGCTCAACAAGCATGTGAGGTATTGATCAACCATCGGTTACGCAGAGCTTGCCGCTATTATCCCAGTCTCAGGGACATTTGTGGCTGCTAGTTCCCAGGGTCGACCTTTGTCAGAGGGATCCAGAAGAGTTGATTCTAGGCTATCAAGTTCTTGCGCCGTCATGTCATCCCAACGGTCGTTCTCATGGTCTGATCGGATAGATGAGTTCTCAAAATCAATGAACTTTGGCCCATCTTCTGTGATCAGAATGTTGTACCGAACCAGATCCCCGTGGAGGATACCAAGACTGTGCAGTTGTCGGACTGCGTTCTGACAGGCCCCCACGTCCGCTGGGGATGCTGGTCGGCCAGGTAAAGCTGTTATCAGGAATCCGATCACTCGATGTGATCCTTCAAAGACATATCCCAAAAGCTCAGGCCCTAGTGTTGAATTGCTTTTTGCTAGCAAGTGGTAGGCCGCCAATTCCTGCAGTATCCATGGAATCTCGAATTCGAATCTCGCAATCTTCATATAACATTTCTGCGACCCTATATCCACATAAGTGACTCTAGATTTCGGGTAAGATAGAGCACGAAGTTTGACAATATCAAAGTGTGGGTATCCTATCAGAACTTTCTCCCGAGGTATCGCATGAGCTCTGAAATGATCCTGACGGCAATGGACCTCTCCACCGAGCCTTGATACTGTGAACGTAGTCCATTTGTCATACCATCCACTAAGTTTTGACAATGCACGGATAAGCTCATCGTTTGACGTTACTGCGTCCTCTGGTAAGATGCTGATATCCGTTACGTGAACATAAACAACTCTCGTCTCGTCATGGCCTTGGCGTCGAAGCCGATAGAAGCAGTCTTCGGGCCCGAGATCGAGATCCAACAAAGTATCGCAAGTATCCAGCTGGGATGAATCGCCCGCCGCCATTGATCTTTCAGTCTCCAACATCAACAAAATCTTGCCACGCTTGCTAAAGGTGTCTCAGGTCAACGGAGGTGCCTTGAGTGATAAATGCACAATTTAAGCTGTAGACTTGATCTTGTCTCCGTGTACGTCCCGGAGTTCGAGTTACCACAGCGAAGCAGTAGAAGGGAGGGGAGACCAGGAACAGCTGGTCGAGATGGGTGACCGAGGGCTTGGTACTTCACGGGAGAGAGGGACCGTGGTGCGCATGAGTGAGCGTGATTTTCAGAAGGAGAAATATCATCAGGGGCTACCTTCAGAGGCACGTCCAGGAGGAAGGGCGGTGAAGACAGAGGCACGAGAGGTGGGAATCCAAAGCGCAGTTGCGAAGTGACGAGTTCATGGCAAGGGATGGGTATGTCGCCAATGGTAGTCACGTGGTCGTGAGTAACGCGTCGAGGCGCGTTTAGCTGCCACCCACTGTTCGAGAGGACCCAGGGCTGCCACGGCTGCCCAGCACAAGTTGCCACATCCTCCGAGGCACACTCTCTTGATTGACCTACATAATGGAAACTCCCTCTGGCACCAGAAAATTACGAGGGTCGAATTGACCAACGTCAGAATTGTATCGGTAAGTAAATGGTGAGTCGAAGGGCGATGGTGGTTTTAAAAGCGGCACGGGTCGGGATGACTAAGGGAGCTCCGAGCAAAGGCATCAATAAAACCTGGGGGCACCACAGCATTATTGGATGAACTACCCACACAACAAATCGGTTTCCTAGTTTGTCACTTTATCATAGTCGCTAAGACCGTCTCTGTCTCTGTGTGTGAGACTCATACGTTCCTTCTCTCCTCGCTATTTGGGACCGAAGTCTTTGCCGATTCTCGCAAAGAACCCCAGCTTCGAATTTTCTGATACCAATAGACCACATCCTGGGAGGTATACACGACTAACCTGGAAAAAGTACGTAAAAGAGAGAAAACGAGAGAGAGATAGAGACAGAAAAAGACCAAAAACATGGGCCTGCTGTCAAATCTGGACTTGGTCAATGAATGCGACAAGTATGTGTATACCTACATGCCTGCTGTCCCATCCTCAAGGCGCTCAGCAAGCACATTCCCCTCTTCGACACCCCTCCTCTTCCACCACTACATCTCTTACCGCCAAGATTACGTGAAGTGATTGATGGCACTAATGGTGAATACTGACTGGGGTGTGGACACAAAAAGCTTCCCTTACTACACGGACGACCCGGACAAGTTCAAGGCTTTGTGGGAAGGCTACTACCACTTCTACCTAGAAGGTTGCGGCGCGTGTTTGGGATACATGACCTCTTCTGTCGCGGAGCGAATGCCTCTCACCCAACACTGGAAGCTGGACAAAGTCAATAGGCGCCTGACATTCCAACCTCGAGATGAGCGGGGAACCCCGGTCGTCGACCTCGGCAAGCGCAGCGACATCTTGGGGGACTATCTCCAGGAGGTGCGCGAGAGACGCATCTTTGCCGTCCTCGACGGTTGGCGGAATGAGCGTTACCCCATATACGGGCCGCAAAAGGAGCTTGTGTTAAACATGGAACGATCAGCGTCCCCTCTCTTTGGAATTGTCACCTATGGTGTGCATCTGACCGGCTATGTCATGACCGACGAGGGGATGAAGATATGGACACCACGACGCTCCTTGACAAAGCCAACGTATCCCGGCATGATGGACAACACGGTCGCCGGAGGGCTGAGCACGGGAGAAAAGCCCTTTGATTGCCTGGTCAGAGAATGCGAAGAGGAAGCCTCATTACCAGCAGACTTGGTGCGCCGCACGGCTCAGGCTTGTGGCACACTGACATATTTCCACGTCCGCGACGCCCGAGCTGGAGGAGAGACGGGACTCTGTCAGCCCGAGTGCCAATACATCTATGACCTCAGGATGTCTCCCGATGTCATACCCAAGCCAGGCGACGACGAAGCCATCGATTTCCAGCTTCTGACTGTCGAGGAGGTGCGGCGAGCTATGGCCGAGGGTAGATTCAAGCCGAATTGTGCACATTTGCTCTTGGAGTTCCTCGTCAGGCATGGCTTCGTGACGGCCGAGAACGAACCGAATTATATTGAAATAGTCGCAAGACTCCATAGACGGTTGGAGTTCCCAACTTCGTGAGACCCGGTCACGACGAGTGCAGCCTTGCAGAGCCCAACCACCAACGCCTCGCTAGATAGACTTTTTTGTTTCCCCCCAAAAACATAGTGCCGCCGTAAAAGTCACGGACCAGAGCTCATTTCTTCATCAAAAGGTACACGTAGTCGATTCTCAGGGCGTTGAGCAGTGCGTACGGGCCGTCCATGTAGAGCAGCAGGCCGCCGAAGGAGACGTATAGCTTGCTATGCACAATTGTTAGCCCAATCGCCACCCAGATCCTCTCTTGCGCAAACCTACATGTTGTCTCCGCTACCTTCCTCGAATCTGTAGATCTTTCCGTGGCAGACATAGTCGAACTCGTCGGCGAGCGTCTGCTCTCCCCTCCCGATTTCTCTCCATCCTTTCCCGTCGTCTTTGCTCCCGTCCAGGTTGAGGGAGAGGGCCAGCGCGACCGTCATGCGGTCGTCGACGTTCAGGGGGTACAGTTCCGTGTTGACGTCGAGGGTCAGAAGGACTTCCTGCTCGCCCTCGCTGTAGGCTTTGATGCGAGAGACTCTGTCATACTTGGTGTCGTTGAGGTCGGTGATCTTGAAGCTATTCTCGAAGAGGATATTCTCGGACATTTTGGGTGGTGAGCGCAGTGATTTTGCGAAGAAGATCGAGAAGACGCTTGCAGCTTTTTGGGCGCAAAAAAGGGACGGTATTATGGAAATCAAAGTCGCTCTCCGGCCCGCAAGAAATTGTTTTTTTTGCGTTTCGGAGGGAAATGTATTGTACGGCGGAGTACATCTCCGGTAGCCTTTGCGGCATCTAGCGCAACATCACTTTTCGCAATAACTCCCTTACGCTTCCCTCCACATGCAAACTCAACCAACTTTCTGTGGATTCTGTAGTCTCTTGTTTCGATGTCCTTCCGCAAGCGCAATGTAGGCCTCTCAGGCTCTACGAGATCCGAAGGATCTGCAGCACAATCCAGCGCCAAAGACCGAGTTCAGCTGCCTGGCGTACGGCCTTCACCATTGGACGGACGGCCAACAACTTCTACTGGCACCGCCAGCCTTGACAGCGTCCTCGCTGGACATTCTGGCCTCACTCTCGGGAGCACGATCCTGATCGAAGAAAGTGGAACGACCGACTACGCGGGTGCTCTCTTAAGATTCTACGCCGCAGAGGGTCTTCTCCAGGGTCACCATGTCCACGTCGTGGCACTCCCTGAGCAGTGGGGTCGCGAACTTCCAGGCGCTGTCGGCGAGAGCGAGAAAAAAGAGATACCCGCTGAAACAGAGAAGATGAAGATTGCGTGGAGATACGAGAGCCTGGGGCAATTTGGTGCAGGCGCACCCGCAAGAGGTGGGCATGTTCATCCCCGTAGCCTAGCTAGAATCAATGCTATTTTCTCTGAGATTCCTGTTTAGCTTCTCTGCTTCGCAATTGGCACTGACACCTTCTTTTTTCCCCCGACAGAACGTCTTCAGCCAAATGCAGGTCAACCAGGTCTAGACAGGCTACAGGGACCACCTGCTTCTTTTTGCCATACATTCGACTTGACGAAGAGACTCGTTCATCCTGCCTCGTCTAAGTTGGATTTCATTCAATTAGGCACGAACCCGACACACTCGCCCTTCGCACCTGTTCTCGACCGGCTGAATGCCTCTGTCATGAATTCCGCACCGGAAACAGTCCACCGCATCGTCATTCCATCCCTTCTTTCACCAGCGCTTTATCCCCCTTGGTCGAGTCAACCACAGAACATCCTCCAATTCCTGCATAGTCTTCATGCTCTCTTCGCGGCACATCCTGGCCGGCTGACGGCGGTCATGTCACTTCCACTGTCACTATATCCACGTTCTTCCGGGCTCGTTCGTTGGATCGAGCTGTTGAACGACGGCGTCTTTGAACTGTCCCCATTTCCGCATTCGGCGGAGGGAGATGCGACACCTGCTCGAGGTCCCTCTGGTGTAGCTGAAGAGCCCCCTCAGGGTTTGTTGCAAGTACATCGCCTTCCGATGCTCCATGACCGTGGGAGCGGACTTGGCACGTTTGAGACCGACTGGACCTTCACGTTGAGCCGGAGAAAGTTCACAATCAAGCCTTTCAACCTGCCCCCTGTCGAGGGTGATACAGGTGCTCAACAGGCGGCGGGCCAGGAGCAGAAAGGGAAGAAGGCCGATGTGGAATTCTAGATTTCTCCCTGAGGATGACGCTTCACACGTCGTCGTCTTCAGGAGGCAGTCCCTGTGAATTGAGCATGGTTTCTAACTCAATATGCTCCGAAGACGAAGGACCTGGATTCGTCATGCTTCGAAAATAGGTACCGTCGTAAGTGCCATGCCGTGGATTGACGGTGAATCCGGACACCCGCGCACGAAACCGGTCGCCCAAGCACGATGAGAGAGCGAGGAAAGCTGTTTCGCCTTCCCTCAGCATGGGCTGTAAGCAGGAATGGTTCAGAACGCACCTAGGAAGAAAAGAAGCGGAATAAAGAACAGCAAGGACAGCAACACTATGATACCCATTATTGAAAGTAGTTTCTCGTTGAGGGCTTTATGGCGGCAGCACCTGTACGACAAGCAGAAAGGCGTTACGATGGCCAAAGACGCAAGTTGATGGCGAGGAATGAGGCGGGAGGTTGTCATGATTAAATATTTTGGTCTGACAGAATCATGACTACGGTCGACCACTACAAAATCAGTCTGGCACGTAAAATAAATTCTTTCGCGGAGAGCCACAACTTTCCTTGGACCTTTTTCAATCTCTTCAATTTCTTTCCTAAGAGAACCATTCGTCCTGTCGCTTTCACACAACTCCACCAAGTCATGTAGTTCATCTCAGGTTGCTTGAAGGCTGGTCTTCAAGCCCTCCATTCAGTCTTTTCTCATCACCATCGGAACCCCCAAAGCTTCTGGCCGTGGCTAGTGAGATTCCACATCCTCTCAGTGCTGAGGAGTCAGTGGTCATCAATTTTCTTCAAGAAATCAACGTGTGAGTGTTTCCTGCGCTATCTACCATACCAAGCCCTTGCATGATTAGACCACTTTTATAATCTGTCAATCCACTGAGAAGCTTCTCACGAAGCCATGTGATTGAAGCGAAAAATCGTTGTTGAAATATGACCGCTTGTTTTCTATTTACATCCATCTGGCATGAAACCTCTTGTCGACTACTTGGCTGACATTCATGATGGACTTAGTGGCAGATATACTTCATGATGGACTCGCCGGCAGATCTGGGTTTCGACCACAAGCCCGATCTCCCAGTTCCCATCTCCTTGGTTGGTGGTCGATATCTACTTTTCGATATCAAAATCGCAACTTACCTGCGCCGGGAGCATCACATCTGTGGCATCACAATCGGAACGCTACCATTATTTCCGTCTCAGAACCTATTTCTTGGTGTGCCTATTGAGATCATGCCTGAAGAAGCTCAGTTGCTAGTTGAACGAGGAGTCGGCACCGTTGTTGACGATGCTCGAGCTCACGATCAAGCTGTTCAGTCGACAGATTCGGCTCGACGTGCTGACTATATGGCCAGAATACAGAGGCAGTCCAAGCAAGTCAAGCATGCCAAGGACGAGGAGAAGGAGCAAGCCCGGAAGCGAGCGTTGGGCAAAAATGCGAAAGCCTCAATCCCACCATCTTGTGACACGCAAGATGGATCTAGCGCAGAGCCAGCCGATTTAGGCAACAGCGAGACAGCGCAAGTTGCCGAGGATACCGCCCTGGAGGGTCAAGCGCTCTTTGAAAATGACTCTCCCGTCAAGGTTTTGCCTGCCAGTGCCGCGTCAAACACATATTTTGTCACGCCGGCCACATCTCGACTGCTGCTGCCACCACCTTCGGCAACAACAAAGTCGACAATAGAGAATCTTCCATCATCTTACCCTTTTTACAGGCATCTCCACGACAAAGGCTTCTACACGACCCCTGGTCTTCGATTCGGGTGCCAGTACACTGTATACCCCGGCGACCCGCTCCGGTTCCATTCCCACTTCCTCGCCACCGGCACGGAGTGGGACGATGAGATTGATCTCATGGACATTGTAGGAGGGGGTAGACTAGGCACGGGTGTGAAGAAAGGGTTTCTGCTGGGCGGAGCAAGTCCAGCTGGAGATGTAAGGACGTTTAGCATCGAGTGGGCGGCGATGTAGATGCAGCTCTGTCATCAAAATGACTGTCGTGTGGTCGTATCGTCCCGCAATTCAGCGTCTGTCAATGATAGACATTGGCCATGGGCCAACCTCGATCTTTCACAAGTAATCCATGGCCTTCCACTTGAACTTGCGGTTCGCTCGCTCGGCCGGGCGAAACTCGAATTGGTTCCCGTGTAGTTCGAACACGAGCATTCTTGGCCCCTTGGTGTCTTCTTTGTCTTTGACTTCCTCTTCACGAGGGTCGTCGTTCCGAGAGTCACTCTCACGTTCCGGCAGCGGTATCTCGTACCGGAAGACGGTATCCCTCTTTGGCAGCGTCTTGACCTCGTCCTTGACCGTGACGACCACAAAGGTGTACTTTGTGTCTCTGACCACGATTCCCCTGATGCCCACTTTTCCAGCGTCCGAGCACGCGACCACCTCGAGCTCGGCGCCGTGGAAGTCGGCGCTCGCCAGGAGCGAGCCGTGGCTCTGCGCCGTCACCACGTTCGCCAGCGCGCCCTTTTGCACCGTCTGGCCGTCCTTGACAAACCCCAGGATCTCCAGCATGTACCCCGTCCACAGCTCGTGCAGGCCCTTGTAGATGTCGTATTTGACCTCCTCCTTCTTCAGCGTGAGGAGCCCGAGCTCCCTCTTCTCCCTCGCGCTCAGCGGCTTCGGCTTGCGCTTGCGCAGGTAGTATTCCTTCTTGCGGAGGCGGATGCGCCGGCGCAGGGCGCGCTTGTCCCGGTCCGCCGACGACGTGGGTTGCAGGAGGAGCGGCTTGTTCTTGACCTTGTCGGTGAAGATGCGCGAGGCCGTGTCGGGCGAGTGCGCGCGCGAGAGCAGTGTGTGCGCCGGGTGGAGTTTTGTCGGTGGTGGTGGCGGCACGGTGCCAGAGCGCGGCGAGGAGGTCATTATGTGCTGGGATGGGAAATTTAGGATGTGTAAGTGAATGACTGGGCGGCCTGGCCGCTCATATGTGAGTAGACTCGCTTGTCTAGAAAAGATGCCGCTGTGTGGGCGAGAGAAATGATGATGATGATGTGTGTGGACGCTTCCAACCCTTCATCGGTGAGAAATGCCAACCGCCCTGCTGCTGGCCGAAGCTCTTGGGGGACACCGACTGACTCTTAAACTGCATAAAGGCCGTCAGTCATTTTCCATCTTGAAACTGTAGGATAGTTCCGCGAGACGTTATCACCTGCATAACCTCGTACTCGTGAACAAGTCACGGGCGCTCGCTTGACTCGAACGACCATGCCAAGTGTGGTAATAAAGTACAACCCATCGGAAAATCTTCGGGCCTTCATTGTCAAGAACCAAACTAGCGAGTTACTCTGTCGTGCCTGTCTCGATCTCACTGCTGTCCACTGATGCCACGTCGAAAGGCGAGGGGAATCGCGAGCGCGTATCTGCAAAGTATTGTTCCCGTAGCGAACCTATCTCAGCCTCATACTTCTACCCTTGTCATCGGAAGCACTTTATCATCAGCCAGTGTTCAATGTCTCGAGAGACAACGTCACCCGCTATGCCGGCTGCGACGACGACCACGCCAGGGAAGCAGTCTGTATTCGTCTTGTCAATCATACTGCCCCAGCCGGGTGGTAGATGGAATGATTTGGTTTGGGGGTCCTTTCAGCTGTTTGTGGGTTGACATTTCCACCCAGCGACTATTCGGCTAACAGCCCTGACAGCCATTGGATACAGGTATTCTAGGTAGGTTCGCAGTCTGAGACTTGTGTAGAGTGATAGTAGTGAGGGAATGTTCGTTCTGTTTAGTTCCGACTAGAACTGCGAGACATGCAGTAATCTGGAGCAGGCTGTCATGGATACTCGAGCCTTTTGGGGGTAAGGAGAATGAAGATCTTGATCAAATCATCCTCTGTTTTCTTAGGACCCTTCTTGCGCTACAGCTGTTCCAGCCTCAAAGACCGCATAGCTATAGTCATTCACCATATTAGAGAAGGACTGTGGAGAAATCTACGATTAAGTCCTCTCAGTATGGTAACTGCTAGAATAGGCTAGCCTCGAGTGCAAGGCCCACAGCTAAGTAGCCAGCCAGGGTGGTAGGGCTACGTCACCACATCGTTCACTTACCACCACTACTGCGAGTCAGCAACGACTGAGATACCACCAAGACCATACAATGGGCCAGCGTTTCCCTGCGAGGCTGTGCTTTGCTCGATACAGCTAAACATTATAAAGAATATATATTAAACCTTTCAACTCGTCCATTTTGGAGGTTCAGACTTTTAGAAAGCGCAACAAAATGTTCTGGGAACACGCAACAATTGTGGGCTTGATACGGAACATGGGCTCGGGATTCGGCAATAAATTCGGGACGGAGCCTTTGCAAAAACATACGACAGCCTTCGTCTGTCTAATGGCTCATCAAACCATCAGCTAGGGATAAAAACTTTGGTTTGGGACTGTCGTCCGACAGGTTTTCGCTTCCCTGCAATTGCTACGCACCCGCAGCTGCGTCTGACCAGTCGACAACGATGGCATTCGCCCTGAGCCAGAATAACAAAGTCCCAGACATGGAATCTACGGTTCTTGAAACTGAGAAAACCGAAGTCTCGGATGTGGTGAAGTCTTCCACTGTAGAAGATGTCGAGCTCAACAACACCAACACAAAGCCCGAACCGCTTTCGTGGCAGACTTACGCGGCAATTCTTGTGAGGGGAATGAAAATGGTGCCTGAGATGTGAGATGGGAGAGCTAATGCAGAAACCCACAGACACTGATGTTCCAATACAATTCATATCTCTTCACGTTGAGCATGCCGCCGGCGATCCTTGCCTTCATCAATGCAGACCTCGGCCCTGATTCAAACTACATCTGGATCACAGTCTCGTATGTCAAAGAACCCATGCCGTCTCGGTCTGTCTGTGGAAGTTGACTTGGGCTCTTAGGTGGAACCTCTGCGCAGCCGTGCTCGTCACGACGAGTGGCCGCATTGCCGACATCTTTGGCCGCCGATGGTTTCTGATAACAGGAGCTTGCATCGGTGTTATTGGCGCCATTGTAGGTGCTACGGCCAAAAACATCCCGACCATGATTGCCAGTGGTATCCTCTTTGGTATCGGAGGAGGTTTCCAGGAGATGTGTTTCTCAGCGGTGCAGGAGCTGGTCCCAAATCGTCAGCGCTTCTTCCTTCTGGGTGCGTATATCTAGCTTCCTGATCCGCCCACTGTGTCTGACAGAGTTCTAGGTTGTTTGGAGGTCTCCAACATGCCAGCGCAGTTCAGTGCGCTCATTGCGTACGCCTTCGTTGCACATTCTTCCATTGGATGGCGCGCCTGTTACTGGTGGTGCTTTTCCTGGGAAGTTTCTTCGGCCATCCTCCTCTTTCTCTTTTACCACCCACCTTCCTTTGAGACGAAACATCAGGTCGACCATAAGACAAAGCTGCAGCTACTGACCGAGCTGGATTATGTCGGCCTTGTCTTGTTCTCGGCCGGATGTGCCATCATCCTCATGGGAATCAACTGGGTAGGTATCCATCCGTGAGACACCGCGTTGTATACTAATGCCCAGTACAGGGTGGCTCTTTGCACCCCTGGAAGAGTGCCGCGTGTATCGCGCCCATTGTGATTGGAGGAGCATCTCTCATCGCCCTCGGATTTTGGGAAGTGTATGCCGACCTGAAGTATCCCATACTGCCCCCGAAACTATTTCGACAATGGCGCAGGTTAGTAATCTCCCTCCGAACTAAGACGTGCTGAGATGGTAACTGTGGAACTAGCTTCACTGCCGTTCTTGCAGTCGTGTTTGTGGGTGGTATGCTATACTATAGCAACGCTGTGTAAGTTACCCCCTCCGAAATGCGAATTGTGATTGTGCTGAGACTCGTGCAGCCTCTGGCCCCGGATCTCGACGCTTCTCTTTGTCCCGGCCGACGACCTCATCCTCCGGGGTCTTTATGCGAACATGTCGGCTCTTGCTGTCATGGTTGCCGCGATTTACTGCATGGCCGTGATGCCCTGGGTTGGCCATGAACAATGGCAACTCATCGGTCTTGCTTGTCTTCAGACTGCGTTTATCGGCGGCTTCTCAAGCCTGAAGATCCATGAGAAAGGCAAAGCGATTGCATTCCTTCTCATTGCCGGTGCTGCGGCATCCAGCGTGAACCAGATAGCCTTTGGCATGGTGTCACTTGGTATCGAAGATCAAACCGACATGTAGGTTTTTAGTCATGTTCCCTCTGTTTCACGTCCCCAAGCTGACACTGTACAACAGCGGAGTTGCAGTTGGGCTCGTGAGCACCTCTCGTCTCCTCGGTGGCGCGGTTGCCAGTGCAATATATGTAGCCATCTACACCAACAAATTCTCAGAGGAGATACCAGGTCACATTGCCCATGTCGCAGCCTCGACCGGGTTCCAAGGGTCCACATCCGCTCTCCTCGCAGCCGCTATCAAGAATACCGAGGCGGCTTACGAAGCCGTTCCCGGCATCACCGCCAATATCATATCTGCTTGCCAGCTGGCCGTCAAATATGCGTATGTGGACGCATTCAGCTTGACATACAAGGTAGCCATCGCCTTTGGGGGTGCGGCAATCATCGCGTCGCTGTGCACCAGGAACGTAGAACAGAAGAAGAAGTCCAACGACCGAGCTGTTCGCTTGGAGAATGAGTAGCGAAGAAATGTTTGGACAAGCCAACACGGCAGCACGGTAAACCCCAAAATTGGAGATTTTATCATGCTCTAGTGCAGCTTTAAAAAAAAAAGGGTTGTGTCTACATACATAGCATACCTTGGGTCCATATCACCGAGGGTACCAGGAAATAGCTACAAATATGCATGTCCCGGTTAACTATACCAAAAAAAATCATCTTGAAAACTAAGCAAGGGGATCGGAAAGTGCCAGACAGAACGCATATCCACATGAACTGGGTGAAGGAAGTTGACAGTTCTTTCGACACGAGCCGAATTCCGCCATAGTTCCGAAGATGATGGACGTTGGTCGCTCGGAAAGACATACAGCCATTCAAAAAGATGCATCGGGCCCAGGAGAAGACCACCTGGAAAAGTTTTCCCTTTTTCTTGACATCTTCTACTTGGGAAACCTTGGTCGAGGGTATATTCACGCCAAAAAGAAGATAGAAAGATATCTCGAGACTTCCCATACCCGCCAAAGCGAGGTATAGTGCAAAAAGCGATTCTATACAACAAAACACGACGGGAATACCAACAATTTTTTCAAAAAAAAAAAAAAAAAAACAATGGCGACCAACGGGATTGTCAAGAAACTCGGATCTGATGGCCCTACAATCATACCGTTTGACGGGCTTGAACCCAAGTGGACGACCCCGGGGGCCACAGAGGGAGGCTTTCTGCGCTGGCTGATCAGCTGGGTGGGCGGGCCCAAGGGGTACGTGAACCCGAGTCTGGGCCAGTCGTTGATCAGCGAGAACATCTGCGTCGGGTACATGAAGCTGCTGGCCGGCAATCGCCAAAAGGGCCTGCACACGCACAGCATCGTCGAGATCTACCTCGTCCTCCGCGGCGAGCTCGAAGGGTATGACGGGTTGGGCCACATCCACCGGGCAGGGCCGATGGATCTGATCTACATCCCCGTGGGCGTGCCGCACGCCGTGCGGGCCACGACGCTCGAGGACGTCGAACTGATCTGGATCCACGACGGGGTCGAGGTCAAAGGCACGTCCATCTACTACTGGGACCCGGAGACGGTGCCCAAGGTCGGGGGCATCGACGTGCTCCGCTTCAACGACATGCACCCCTCGTGGGAGGCCCCCAAGGCGAAGCAGTCCCCCTTTCTGCGCTGGGTCGTCAACTTCGTCGGCGGCAAGGAGGGCTTCATCAACCACGACCGGGACCACGCCATCGTGAGCGAAAAGGTGGCGCTGGGCGTCGAAGTGATTCTGTCCGGGAGCGGACAGGTGAGACACAGCCTCCCCGGTGCGGCCCAGTGCTACGTCCTCCTCCAGGGCAGCGTCACTGTCGAAGCCGCGGACCACCACGGCGCCTCGTCGACGCTCAAACGACTCGACGCCCTCTGGGTGCCCGGGGGAGCTGTCCACGCTTTGAAGAATGTGGGTCAAGAGTCCGCCGTGGTGTTTTGGTGCTATGAGAGACCTCAGAAGGAAGGTTCCGTGGTCTACGAGCTAGAGTGACATCCAAGTACGAGTGAAGAGGGTGTTGGCTTTGTGTGAGGCTACACCTGACATGGGTGAAGAGTAAAAATGGGACTCGAGACCGAGAGCTGTACACAGATTTCCGTAACTGGTCGATCACCACTTGCCCGACCTTGGTTGATTTCCGTAGATTGTTTCAATTGAAACTCCTGCCTGCTCGCACTAAAGAGATGACCGGACTTGTTTGTCTGTCCTCTGGATGTAAACCCGAATCCCGAACCTTTGGACCTCGTTGAAATTCCGTTGGATTATCCGGGGTCTGGGGTCCGGGGGGTTCAGCCTTGCGGGAGGTCCAATCCGCTATATATCGTTCTCGTCTCATGTCGGATTCCTAAGCACACGACCATTCGCGGTAGAATTCTTCTCCATCGTCTTCGCCACATCACAGAGACAAAGCTTCTCGGATCCTGACGCCATGGAAGACGACAAAGCCGACCGAGTCAGTGCCCACGAGCTGGACAACTGGCCTCCACCCACCAAATCCCCAGCATCGGGCGATGTCGTCGCAGAGGAGGCACTTGGGAACGACCTCCCACAGGGCTACTTTACCAGTGTCCATTTCATTGCGACCTTGAGTGTATGTCTTGCCTCGCTATTCATGCTTGTCACGCACTGACATTGCTGATGTCTTCTACAGGCAGGCGGACTGGGCTGCCTCTCTGGCTACTTGGGCTGGAGTCTGGCGGCCAACAGCCTCACGTTCATCAACGACGCCCTCGGCCCCAGTCCCGACTTCCTATGGCTCCCTCTGGCTTACACGCTTTGCAATGCCGTCGCCAGTGTCCTGGTCGGCCGCATCTCCGACATATTCGGCCGACGCTGGTTCCTGCTCGTCGGACATTGTCTCGCCCTGGTCGGGGCCATCTTGGGCGCCACGGCGCAGACGATAAACACCATGGTCGGCTCCAACGTCTTGATCGGAACAGCCGCGGCCGCACAGTTTGCCCACATCTTCTTCCTGCCCGAGCTGGTGCCCAAGAAGGCCCGCGGCCTGGCCATCGGCTCCTGCTACGCCGTCGCCGTCCCCGGGAGCTGCTTTGGGCCCATCATCGCCAAAGCCTTCATCAGCCGCAATCCGCACGACGGCTGGCGCTGGAGTTACTATCTGATGATCATCACGACGTCCATCACCATCGCCCTGATGTACCTGTACTACCACCCGCCCACATTCTCCATGCTCCACGTCACCAACACGAAGATGCAAAAGATAAGAGCTCTGGACTACGGAGGCATCGTACTGTTCAGCGGAGGCTTCATCCTCTTTCTGCTGGGCATCAACTGGGGCGGCGTGTTTCACCCGTGGAAGTCCGCCCGTGTCATTGCGTGTATCGTCGTCGGTTGCTTGATGATCATCGGCTTCTGCGTCTACGAGGCGTACATCCCCTCGGATCCTCTGATCCCTCTGTCCATCATGAAGAACACCGAGTTTATGATGATCGTCCTGGTCGCCTGCGCGGGCGGCATGATTTACTATTCCATGACGGTCCTGTGGCCGACCATGTGTACTCTGTTCACCGACGACATACTGTACAATGGCTGGCTCTCCATGTCCGTCTCCGGAGGGTTCAGCCTCGGGACCATCGTCTGCAGCATCACGTTTGGATTTGGCCGGGTGCGATGGCAGCTCATGGCCGCCGTCGTCATCTTCGTCGTCTTCGTCGGCGCCGAGGCGGCCACCACCCAGTACACGAAGAACATGTCCGTGGCGTTTGCCATTGTCGGCCTCTTCTTCGCCGGGTTTACAGAAGGCCTCGTCAATGCCACCGTCTCCTTCACCGTGCCCGCCGAAGATATTGGACTCGCCGTCGGTGTGAGTAATGGTCTTCGAGTCCTAGCAGGCGGGGTGGCCACGGCCATCTACAACTCGATCATGACGAACCAGCAGGCCAAGCTGCACGCGCGCGACATCCCTCCGGCCGTGCTCGACGCCGGACTCCCCAGGTCTTCTCTCGCGACACTCATGAGCGTGGTGGCATCCGGTGGGTCGACGGCCAGTCTGCAAAAGATCCCGGGCGTCACATCGACCGTGTTGGCCGCTCTGGCCAATGCAGAGAAAGACGCCCTCGCCGGCTCAGTCAAGCTGGTGTTCTTGGTGTCGCTGGCCTTTGGGGGCGTGGGGATCGTCGCGACCTTTTTCATCAAGAACGTCGACTCGCAGTTGAACAACGTGGTCAATCGGAGGTTACATGGCCGTTCCCGGTGACCTATATGATACCCGAACTATCGATGAATCGGTCACCGTCCGAAAGACTCTGCGAGTCCCAGCCACCCTATCCACGTGGCTAACCGGCTTCTTGACGGAGATGTTCGTCCGGGTGGGGAGCTCGTCGTCCGCGCCTCATAACTTGCTAGTATAGAGGCAAACGGGATGTCGGGAGAACCCAAAGGGGGGGAGGGGGGGGGGTTTCTGATGAACCATGATAATGTAAAGCTCGAGCCCACAGAACAAGGTACATATGGAGAAAGGAGAATCATCCCCCTCTTCTAGGACTTGTTCTCGCAGCAAAGGAGATTCTGACCGCAGCCCCCTTGTATGGTGCGTTTGGTGTCTGTTTTGTCAGAGTCCTTTCCGATTCCCCACCACCGAAAGTGGTTTTTCTACCTGGAGGAATGAAATGGTACAGTGGTACAACCTCAGTTCACCATAGCACAGGCCAACGTAACTTGGCTCTTGCGCTCTGCGCGTTTCCGTAGGCACTTTGTTGATATGTGGTCCCCATTCAGTCGAATGGCGAAATGTCGTGCTCAACCCTCAGCGTTGTGTGAACACCAAAAAGCAGCCCATACATACTGCTTTATCCAGTAGCTCTAGTTCTAAAAGACAGGCTTCTTCTCCACGGCAGCGCACTGGTCGAATGTCAGGTCTGTTTCATCTGAATCATCTTCGTTCACATGCTTCAGGTAACGGGCAAGATCTCCTGCAGATCTGAACCCTTGAGTCCAGCATTTTTCGATGGCAGTCCCAAGCCAGACATTGTCTGTTGATGGGAGGCTATCCCGTGGCGGCCAAGCCACATCACCGTTGGCATCTTCCAGGTGAAATCTACAAGTTTGGCCCGTCACAATCTGAAACATGACCGCGCCAAGCTGTCCAATGTCGCTCAGAATCGAATAACCAAGCACATCGGTACCCTCAAGATCCCAGTCGAGCGGCATTAGAGTAGACTCTGAAAAGTCGACGAATTTCACGTTCAAGTCGCTGTCAAGAACGATGTTGGTGGGACGAACATCGGCCACGATCACGCGGCGAGAGTGGATATGGGCGAGTGTGTCCGCCAGACGTCTCAACCATCCCAGCTGCCGTTCTTGGTTCGGTCTGTTGTCCGCCAGATAGTGTTGAAGGTCCTGTCCCATCAGTGGCATTCGAACCGAGGGGTGTGTCGATGAGACATTGTAGCAGGGAGTAACCCCGACATGCGGGCCAATTCTCCGGTAGATGTCCTTTTCGGTGTTCAGGGCTCGAATCAGGTCGGCATGGTAGTCGTAGTCGCCTTCTTGGGGGGTCCTGCTCTGATCTATCGAAGGGGTGATGTCTCCAATCAGCGTGATTCTCGACAGACGCGGAATTTTGATGGCGTATCTCCCTCGCTGTATGACAATGTTGGTGCGTCCAATCCCTATAACTCTGTCCGTCACTGTGGTACCATCTAGATGAACGAATTCAGCGACTGGAACTGACTCCATTGCCGAGATTGAAGCAATATTGGGTTGCCCCCTTCGGTTTGACCAAGTAATGTAACTGAAGGACAGACTTCTGAGGGGCGACTTGGACACGAAAAGAGTGAAGACAAATTGGTGTCAAGCAGCTGTAGACGGGGAAATAGAACACTTCATCTCAGGTTAGATGAGTTGATGATTTAAGGGAGAAGGAGGTTGGATTACCCCGTATGCTGAGACAATACCCCTAGCTCACGTGATAGGTCACGTGGTTAGATCCACGATTGGGATTTCACAGCCCCTTGTAATATGACTGTATAAAGAAGTTTAACTACCTCAGGGCAATGATGACCTGAGGGCTAGGCAACATGGCAAGTATAGTCGAAACCCAAAGGAAATTTCTAGTTGTAAGCCTCACCAGCCCGAACTGGATAACGGGCACCAGACCGCCTTTGTCCCTGGACGAATACAGGTAAGGGAGAGCGCACAATTCGCGTCGTACGTAATGTGTATCTATGGATACATGTAGGCTACAGCACTGCAATGGCGTTGGGCGGCGACGCCACGCCTCCGACCACGTACAGCGGGGCACTGGTGAAGAAGAAGGTCCATTTCTTCGCACCGTCACACACGACGGCGAGCTGCTCCAAGTTCCACAGCTCACCCAGGGGACAGCCCCAGTGCGCGAGGATCCATTCGTGCAGGTTGACGCCACCTTGAGTCCCGGGCACTTTCTTCCACTGGCTCGGACAACACTCAAACCCGACCGTGTCCCCCGCCAGCGCGGCGAAATGGTGGTTCCAAAGCCACCGCACCGTCTCCATGGACCTTTCCAGGCCGATGTACGTGCCGGCGGAGAAGGTGGCGGCTCGCTCCTCGGGGGTGGCCTGGTCGTGCCACTCGATGAACCCGAAGCGGATGATCAGAATGTCGCCGGACCGGAACTGCACATTCTGGTATGCGGCCACGGCGTCCAGTTCGGCAACCGTCACGGCGAAGGACGTGTTGGGTGGTGCATAGGGCTGACCGGTCTCCTGGCGCCAGCGAGCATAGTCTAGAAGGACCGCACGGCCAACGATGCCGCCGCGCTCGACCCATTCTGTGAGAAGGCAGTAAGCACGTTATCCGCGGCAATATGACGATGGGTCGATGCTTGCTGAGGCCAATATCTTACGATGAACTTTCTGTGCGTAGTAACCACAATAGGGGGACTTACTGTGGATGCCATTCCTGTCGTGCCGTCCAGCTGCAATGTCGTCGTGGCTGACGCCGTTGTAGTACAGCGCGCTCTCCTGCAGCGCGATGTGCCGCAGTCCATCCCACTGAGAACTCGCCTGGGTGTTGAACCGGAGGGCGTCGTCGAACCCGTACTTGTCGTACCTCCCGCCCTGTTTGAGAGAGATCACCTCGTGTTCGGGTTGTCGGCGTCCGGCAAGAGGCGGGAAGTGGTCCAGGGCCAAGTCGAGCGACACGCTTTTTCCAAGCCGGATCTCGTGTTTGGCTGCGAGGATGGTCTTTGGCGTGAGTAGATTAAGTGCTGGGGTTCGCTTCACGTTTTAGTATCTAGACTCTAGTAGGCGGGTGGAAAGGCCGAGGAAGTGAGACATGCACACGGATATAGACCGACACTGACATACTTCCAAGTTGGTCGTCATCTCCCCATAGACCCCAGGCGTTACCTTGAGGCTGACCTGGGACGGGAGGTAATGAATCAAAGTCAGGGATTGATTGCATGGGTATCGCCAGGGCAACTTTTTTGCAAGTCTTGTGTCGGGGATTGGAGTCTTTCTTTGGTCCAAGGTCATTTTTACAAAACCAACACCAGAACACGACACAGAAGACTTCTTCGGCAGTCCCGCGGGATCTTTTGTTTCCGAAACAGTGGGTGAGCTGAAGGACAAGTCCACAAGGCTGTCGGGCAGCCTCGTCAATCCCGAATCCCGTCGATGATTCCGAGGTCGACGAGGCTGCGATTCCCCGCCATTGCGATTGTTGGACTGACTTCAATCCGCATTCCCGAATCCCAAGGACGTCCCTCATCCTCAATCCTACTCCCCTCTCTTTTGCAGGTCGCTTCTTGAAACCCTTGGGCAGTATTTGCATTATCGCTCTATCTCGTCCTCTCAATGTGGCTAAGATATGGAGCCCTTCCAGAGCATCCCGTCACCCACTAATTGGCAGGATCCAGCAGTCCCGCGACGACGAAAATACGTCTCGCGTGCGTGGTGAGTCCCTAGGGGCCCAAGTGTTTCTGTAGGCCATATTCTCATCTTGAAATAGTCTCGACTGCTCTAGGCGTAAAGTCAAGGTATCTACTATCAAATCGCACTGCAACGTGCAACGTGTACCTGACCTGACCTGACCTGATCAGTGTAGTGGAGAACAGCCTTGCCATCATTGCCACGCGGCCAATGTCGAATGTGTCTATTCTGATACCAGGAAGCGACGAGTTATTCGCCGTAACAGACCTGATGCCGCTGCCGCTGCCAATGTCGCCGCCACTGTCCGCTCGCCTGTTGTGGTTGATGACCCTGCCAATGGACAACCAGCCACCATGGCTACGACCCAAACAGGAACACAGGATGACCAGTCGCCGGAAACCATAAGAGCCGAGATTGCTGCCATCATGGATCGGGTCGCCATGCTCGAACGAAGAGCCACCGAGTTGGAGAGCCCCGAGTCGGATATGACACCCAAACCAGACAGAGTCAACCTCGTCGCCGGCAGACATTCGTTTGGGGTCGACTTGCCACCCGAATCAGAAGACACACCATACCCAGACAGCCTCGCAACGTCCGTTACCGAAGATTCTTGTCGAGGCGGCTCGAGCTCCTTGGAAGCCATCGCAGCCCTGAACCGCATTCTCGGGGACGAGCCGCAACAGAAGACACCGCCTCGATCCATGGCAACAGCACTCGCACGGTGTCCCTTTTCTGACACGGGGAGCTTTCCAGATTGTTGTAAAGCGGACATTCAACGGTGGGATCCACGACGAAAGCCTCAAGGCTTGGAGCTCATGCTGCAAGTGTGCAAGATCTTCTTCTCCAGCCAAAATCCACATTGTGAGCCATGCCACTGTCGTACCCAAAGAGACGAGATTGACTGATGATCGTATTCGACAGGTCCATGCCTCAATGAAGCGCAGTTTCTGGCGCAAATGGAGTTTTACCTCAATCGCGACACAACCTGGCACAACAATATGGACACGCTCCAGTTTGTGGCCTTGGTCAACCTCATCGTCGCCGAAGTCAAGATTCTCCACGAACATTGCGCCTCGACCGAAGAGACTCCTCCGGGCTGGCAAGAGTTCCTCCGAGCAGACCATCTCCTACAACACGTCACTTGGCTGGGACGCGGCAACCTGGCGACCATCCAGATCCTGCTGATCAAGTGTACGTACCTGCAACACGCCGAGAAGCTGAATGCGGCGTGCGCCACCATCGGCACCGCCGTGCGACTGTGCTATCAGATCAACCTGCATGACCAGAACACGTGGCACAACCGCACCACCTTCGACGTCACCATGCGCCGGCGGATCTTCTGGTCTCTGTTCTATCTCGACCGAAGCGTCTCGTTAATGAGTGGGGTGCCATACCTGATCAATGATGTCGACGTCGTCGTCGACCTGCCGCGATGTCTGGACGACCGCGAATTCAGCCCCAGCTGTCCAGCACCGGCAGAGAACCCCGAGTGCTCGCCCATCCCGTACCTCCGCAACATGATCGAGTGGGGGAAGCTCTCTTCCGAGATCTGGGACAAAATGTTTTCCAAAAAGGCACCGCGGCCTGTCAGTCAGGACTTTATTGCGACGACCGACGCCCGGATTGTCTCGTTGAGCACCAACTTGCCAGTCGGGCTGCAGTGGAATCCTGACGTGCTGGCGTCTTGGGACACGGACCGCCATCCTCTGTACCTTTTGCGCCAGCGAATTGTCCTCCATCTGGTAAGAAATAGCACCATACCCGATCTTATAGTCTGTGTGGCCCCCCGAAACTCATCTGACGCTCATCTACCTAGTTCATCAATCACTTGCGGATCCTCATACGGCAAGAAGAGTTGATCAGTCTCCAATACAGCCAGAAGGTCGCCGAGACGTCGCTGTCCCTGGCCGCCAGCTCCGTCCAAGCCATCCACGGCTACCACAAATCGCCCTGGCGCCGCGGCGTCGAGCGGTACTCGTCGGTGGTGTATCTGACCGTGGCCATCGTCCCGCTGATCTGCCTGATCATCAACAAGACCATCGCGGTCCACATCCGCGCCGCCGGGACCGAGTCGTTCAAGATCGCCCTCGCCATCCTCACCGACATCTCCGAGGGGTTTGCCCTGGCGCGCCGCACGCTCCAGCGCCTCCGCCGCCTCATCGATGCGGCCAACAAGGTCGTGGCTGTCGACAGCGACGACCGGAACATGACGGATGCAGGTGGCGACGTTGGCACCACGGAGCTCCTGCCCAATGCCGTCGAGCCTCCCACCGCGTTGAACCTCTTCGACGAGACCCTCCTACTCGGCGGCGACCCGGGCATGGACGAGAGCTCCGACGACTTTCTCAGCGGGCTCCTGACCACCTTTGCGAGTGGAGATAGTTTTGATTATGCCGATTGTAATCTAGATGACCACCAGTATCGTTAGAAAAATTTGTCTCTCTGCCGGCCCCCTCCCAACGCCATCGGTCTAGACCGAGGATTCCTGCTAGGGCCTAACTGCACGTTGCAGCCAGTGGAGACTGACTGCATGACGAATTGGAACTTGGAGAGAAAGTCACGGCTTTATATAATACCTTTTCTTGACGTTTGGACTGTTTGGCCCGTTTGTCGTTTGTCGTGCACAGTAGGTGCACAGTAGACAACCCCCCCCCTGTTCCTTTTACCTTTGGTTCCGGATGGTCATTCTCTGTTCATGATTTTTGCCTTTACCCTTGGATACAGGCGGACATTCCTTATTCATGTTCTTTGTCGTTGTCGTTGTTCTTGTTGTCTCTCAGACAGACTCTCGGTCCACCCGTCTCCCATACCTGGTCCCGCGTAGCA